GAGAACAAATTCAACGGAATCCCTGTGACTCCAAGGGTGTCACACACACACATTCAATGCTGCCCTGCCGTCCATCCGTTACAGTGGTTACACCCAGCACTCATTTTCAATGCGCCACTCCATGGCTCAAGAATCTTGAAAGCCTTTTGGACCTTCAGATGGAATGCAATGCTGGAAGGCCGTCAGCCAATATATCTACACAGCCAGACCTTCCGAACGCAAGGAATGGTCTTATCGAAATTGCAGCACCATCTGTACCTGTGTCGGCCAAAAGAACAAAATGACGTAACTCCCAAAAAACTATACTGTCGGCATGCAATTGCTGAAGCCAACGACACTTAGAAATTGTACGACGCGGCGTGGCAAAGAAAGTCCTTATCGCATCAACTGGTTTTCCGTCGGCTTCAACGCTTGCAGAATCCATGGACCGCCGTTCATCCATGTGTCCACAGCTGGACTCAGGCAAATGAATAAGCATAGGAAAATCCCCAACAGCTGGGAGTGAATTTGGTGATTGAACATGATTAAACAATGGCAACATAAGGTACCCGTCAAAAACGTCCAACATCTTGCAAATTTATTGACACGTGGTGCGGTTTTGTTAAACAAGTGTGAACCTTTTCAGTGTGCCGTGCAAACACATTTTTACCATTATCAATACCTCAGTGTAGCGCATGTGCTCGAATATGTGTAAGATTGTGTAAGCATTCCAACACCACCAGAAGCAAAGCCCTCAGAGCCTCATCCGGGACACATATGAATCACGTGTCTGCACGCCTGCGCGACAGCATACTAAATACACACCACACTAACATGACACCATCTCAGCTTTTTGGCGGGGCAACACACCTTACTGTGTCAGAAGAATAACATGTTAGATCATGTTAGCAGGTTAGCAAAACAGCATGCAGCAGCAGCATCATGACGTGTCAGCCAACATTGTCAAAACAGAGTCTCATCATATCTACCAAGCGCTCCTGGGAAGCCGCTCCTGATTCCAAAACTCTGGAGCCTTGTCCGAATCCTGCTCCGGAACCTTCTCCAGAACCTGCTCTTGAACCTGCACTGGAGAAAAGGAGCTTGCTCCGGAACCAGCTCACGGACCAGCTCAAGAACCTCCTCCAGAACCTGCTCCGGAACCTGCTCTGGAACCTGCTCTGGAACTTGCTCCGGAAGAACCTGCTCCGGAAATTGCTCCGGAAGAACGAGCTCCGGAACTTGCTCTCCGGAACTTGCTCCAGAACCTGCACTTTGCTCTGGAACTTGCTCAGGAGCTTGCTCCGAACTTCCTCCGAAACTTGCCCAGTAGCTTGCTGCGCGACCTCCAGAACTTTCTCAGGAACCTGCTCAGGAGCTTGCTCCGGGACCTGCTCCGGAACCTTTGCTCCGGAACTTGCTCCCGAACCTGCTCCGATCTGCTCCAATGTCTTTACTAATTACCACTCAAAAACACCTAAGCTTCCTTCGCTGTTGGGGAAAAAGCACAACGCCTTTGAAAAAGGACAGTTGCCCAAGGTTTCTCCACTGGCACCTTGTGGAAGCCCAAATGAAGGTGACTAACGATGATGCTTTTGGGCTTGCTCCGTCTGGCTTGAACAAATATTCTAGCTAGCCATTCACCATGGTCCTTTGCCCTCAAAAGTTTTGTTCTGGGTCATGAAAAAGACTGAAAAAGTCCTAGGATTAGGATGATGTCTTAGATTGGCAGCTTGGCACACCAACATAAAGGATCGCAGCTCGCATGTGCAGCCCAATGTAGACCCTTTGCCGGTCTTCTCGGCACCCATTCTCTGAACCCACCGTCTGCCACGTATGTATCACTGCTTCACTTGGCGTTTTTTGCTTTGACTTGAATTTTGGAGGTGCTGAACATGAGCACCTCCAAAAAGGAGGACGTCTCTGTGGAGAGGTTTTGGGTGGCTTTGCACCAGCCAATAACAATGGCATGTGGCTATCACGCTTTAGCTCCACATTCAGTTGCAAGGTAAGTGAGCATGTTGCTCTCCAGTGACTTGTTAGTGGAGCAGGTACCCAATCCTGACTATTGGGGCAAACCGGGAAAATACGTGTCTTTCATTGAGAAGCTTTGCAAACAAAGAGGCTCCACAAAGTTCCGGGTCGGGCAAAGCACAACCTCTCAAGCATGATGAAAGCTGGCGGATTGTCGCACAAACATCAACAAATTGAAGACGGTGCAACGATCGCTTGGAGAGAGGCTCGCTACGCAAGCTATGCCTGCCATCATTTTGCTGAAGCATGGGACACGAATACGTTGTCAGTTGACCTGCGTTTTGGTGACCTAACACCGAGGCCCTACTGTTTTGTTTGGGCGTGCGTTAAGGGCTCTGAAGTCAGTTTGCTCTCAAACCGATAGAAAGCAGCAAAGAAATGAGTATGAATGCATTCACAACTTTGCAGAAACAAGTGAGAACCAAGGAGAAAATGCTCGCTGACATTGGTCTATAAGAGCATGTCTGGACCGGCAATATCAACAGCCCTGCAGGAAGCGATGCGTTCTCTGCCTCATGAGACAACAGCACTACTAGCATGTCAATAGCGGCTGTCTTGGGACTCTACAAGACGCTTTTCAGTTGAGAAGTGCAGGCTTCAAGGCTTATGCATTGTTATGTAGGAAGTCCCTGATGACTTTCACTGACCTCCTTGCTTCAGCGAGTCATTTAGAGCACCCATGTATTCAGTCAGCCGTGAGCTCACAAGCACAGGAGAATTTACTCCCAGCTTGCTCCTTGGCTTCGGTGGGCTGTCCAGAACTCCAGTTGGAGTGTCCCGAATCGGCAAGCGGCTTGAGAATCCGCTGCCCGTCCGTGTATTGCTCCCTGATCTTCCGTAACAGACGAGCATTCGGAGGTTCCAATCCTAAGGACTGGATGGAACGCCCCACGCGAGAGATGTCCTTCATACTTCCCGATGCGAATCCTTGATTCGGATCTCTGCCCATCAGCCACTTCTCGAGCATAAAAACTGCGGGAGGCATCGGGAAACCATCGCAATTCGACAAACGGCAAACAGCACACAATCTGGAAAAGTACCCCCATCTTGATGGAGGGGAGGTTCTCTGTAGCATTTCTGGCAACACCTATTACACCAGAGATGTCGCTTTCAAGGCTCGACGCTTTTACACCTCATGGAAGCTCCAAACAGTTCAGTCCGCCCCAGTACACCTACGGCTTCAAGCTTAGTCTGATGTGGTTCAGTCCAAGTTTATTCGCAACTGGACCTCATCGATACCACTCCCATGAATTGGAGTCTAAGTGCATTATGGTCAATTCTTGGCTGTGGTTGGAGGAATGGATGCAATTTTGTCAGGGCTGTGGGTGGGCAGCAAATATTGTTATATTCCGTATTCCACGTTCAAAGCATGTTGCCGCAGGCCAGCATTAAACCGTTGAAAACATAATGTCGGAAAGCTTGTGTGATAGCTTGACATATCGGCAGCCATCACCATCACTGCAACCCTCTTCAGAACTGATTGGTCAAAATCTGTCCCTATTAAACCCTATTAATTCGAAACCAAATGATGCAAAGAAACATCTTAAGAAGCCATGTTTCACATCCTCGACGGTCCTCAAGGCCTTTTTGGAAGTACCTTTTTGGTCGGAGTCCAATTCCCCATGCCCACCATGGGCCTACCGCGCGGGCCCAAACGCGTCCTACAGCGGTGAAACTGAAGACATACAATGAGACTTTGTTTCTCTGCTTAGGTTGTCATGGAAGCTACCACTTTGGAGGGTCAAATATAGTGAAATACACCAGCAACGGGTCCAGCACGGGCATCTTCAGAACCCTGATAGACTTATCGTTCACCTGCATATTAAGAGGAATCATCGTGCGACCATTCAGAGCTCGAGATATATCTGCAAGGGTGCGTGCATGTGGTGAACATTCTTTGTTTCTTGAGGTGTCCATGTATGCATGGCCCATTGCTCACGACCACGGCAGAAGTCAGCGCCTCAGACCATGTTCACTTGAATGTGGCCACTGGGCCAGGAAGCTATATAGAACAACACTCAACAGCACTATGACTATATCATATAAATAATGATATACACATAATATCGTTTGGAACCTGTTTAGAAGTCGTTGCCTGGGGCCTTTCAACAATGTGGCCGGTTCCGGCTGCGCGTGACTGATCCGAATCGGCCATCATGACTCCCAAGTCGTTGAGCGTCAAGCATGATGCTATCCATCCTCCAGCTGGTGGCAATGGAGGCAGCATGCGAATGATGCATTCTGTGCATTCAATTAAAGCATCTGATATAGTCGCCCCTTTGTTTTGCACATCCAGTCGATTCCCGCAGTCCTTCATGGCTGACTGGTCTTTGATTTTGGACAAGACGGAATTGACCTGTGTACACACATTCCTGGGCAGAACGGAGCAAGGGCCTGGCCATCCTGGCCTTGCAAATGCTCAAAACTGTCCCGGACTTCTTGGGAGAAAAAGGCTGACCCCTTGTACCAAAGCTTAGGTATATTAGACAGAACTTACAAGACTATGAACCAAATGAATCCCCAAAACTGCCTCAAGCCTACGCCTTTCGTCCTCGGGGGTGCTCCCCCTGAGTCCAGCCATGGATGGCACCACTTGAAGACTCCCAGGTTCAGGAGCAGCGGTCACCGAAGAAAACAGGGGTCTTGATTTGGCAACTCTTCCCTTGCGTTGGCTTAGTTGAGTTTGGAATCACTGCATCTCACAGCCGCAATGACAACCAGGAGAGGTTGCACAAAGGTAAGTGTTCAA